TCACAGATGCATTGTATCCCTCCTTTTTCAGATTTTTTAAAGGTATTAATTTCCAATTCTTTTTAACTCGAAGATCGCGAAGCAATAGATAGATGATGGTGTGTGAGGTGAGGTGGACTAGTTAATAGGTCACTTATTTTTTCTCTAAACATACGGGCATTTAGAAGTCCGTAACCAAGATGGTCAGGTGTTTTGATACAAAAATGGCTTTTTAAACACAAAATGTGATTTTTGAGGTCTGGACGTTCTTGTATAAGCTTCTTACCAATTAAGAGCGAATGTCCACTAAAACCGAGCAAAATCGAGAATACGTGGCACATGATGAAAGATCAAATCCTTCATATTTTAACCATTGAGACCCTATTATATACTAAGAATCATGGTGGGGTTTGTTTTCGAAAATTTTATTTTAAACGCGAGAAATTTAGAAAAACCTAACTCAGACTAGAAATGGCTGAAATCAACACAAACATGGCGTGATTATGAATTCTCGAAAACGTCTTATTTGATCCATTAAAAGCAAACAAAAACATCAATCGACTTCATAATCGTAAATGACAAATAATAATAAACATCTGGATGTAAATTTTGATTGAAGAAAGTTATTTTTAAATCCATAGAAGGCAGTCAAAAAGAAGACAATTTTGCCGAGTAAACAATTCTTAATTTACCAAACTTTTTGAATATCAATTTTCCCTACCCGGTATATTAGCGATTTRCTTGATACTTTTCATGTGAATAGAGGAAAGGCAGTCCTTTAAATTGATGTAAAAATCTTTCTTGGGATATTTATATTGGCGGATATATTGGGATTTAAAAAACACCAAAATCGCGACAAAAATATGTCAAAAACTCCAGACAGCCAGTCGAGACAGTCTAATAGTCACGAACCTATGCGTCACGCAATGAATGGTTATCATGTTGAAATTGTTTCCCTTAAATATAACATTATCAATACGCATGAAGCAGTATTCAATGTTTGTGTCCAATGAATATTTATTGTACAATATTATTGCAAAATGTTCGTTTTTTCACTTTCCAAGTCTATACATGTGATTATCATTTCAGTGAAAGTAATATTTATAAGCTAATTGTTAATTTCTAAAAACACTTGTGATTTTGTTAAGTCTGATGTATTTGTGCCCGTGATGTGAAGAAATAGCTCCAGTTAGCCGTTCTTTACGCCGTGCCGTGTCCGCTAAAATCATACAAACAACGGTCCACGTGATATATATGAATCAATTATATATGTTTTTATCGTATTTTTGTCTTTGCTTGTCGTTAAATTATAAAAAAACATGAATAAAAGAAGAAAAAACCTCTGGGACCAGGTTACATTTCCATAGTTATTTTATAGATAATACTATTGCGAAAGACTCTGTTGCCTCATTGCAGTCTCAGCTAGTATATACAAGTGTACGCATAACCATACAGGGAAAATATAAAATTAAAAACAAATGTTTTATTCTTGAMACTCGMAATCTTTGCAGAGTGACTGGAGCTTTGAGACGTAGGATTTCTTTACTCGTTTGGATTTTATGTCTGTAATGTCAATCCCAAACTCCGTACAAATGTTGATTAAAACGGAGATTGAAAATGTGTTCAATTTCTTCTTTACATAGAGTTCACATAAGTTATATGATTCAAAGATAATTGGATGTTTCAGAGTAAGCTCTTGTTCGGCTTCTTTCACAAACGCATCTAATTCAGCTTCGTGAACTGCAATTTCTACATCTTCTATAAGATCGTCATGAAGCGTTTTCTTTGCGGAGAGCCTTGAGAAAAAAACCAGTAATTTGTTTTGCTGTCAAAAAGTCGTCGCTGTTGAACATCAAGTTGCCATCAGGGTCCTTCGCTACTTTCATTGCTCTTGCTACTACTGCTGGGTCTGACTTCACTCCCGTCTCTTCTCCTATTTTAAACTTGTCTTTGAGGAAAGTCTTTTGTTTTTCTGAAAACCTGGCATTTGYTGTCCCTCGTGATTTGAGTGCCCATCCCATTGGTGCTTTACACCCACCCACACCTGAGGCTCTAGAACGGGTATCTTCAGGTTGTGGATGTAAAGTGGCTTTTCCTTCAAGCTGGTCTGCATATTCCTTAGCAGCCTGATCATACAGTGTCTCGCSCTCTAGTGCTCGCTGGTGTTTCCCGCAATCCAAATGGTGCATCATGGAGGMGTGTCGCATGAAAGTCTTAATACAGCCTTCTTCTGGGCATGTGAAAAGCGTACTAGCGGTGCTTGATGGAGCTTCCTGCTCAACCTGTTCCAGCTGGACGGATGAAGTGCCTGACTTTTGCAGTTTTTTGCTTTTGACCGGAGAAAATGTGCTAGGATGCGATTGTATCACGTTAAGGGAAGGAAGGTCATCAGAAGTACAAAACTCAGATCGAAGTGTTCCTTTACCCACGTCATAGGCCTTCYATACACGCATGTCTTTGTTTTTATATTCTATGTTGTAAAGTGTGCTTACACCCTTGAGCTTGTAAGGTGGCATAGAGGGAATGGAAACTGAACCACACACAGTAACGCACAGTGATGGTATACCTCCAGATGAGAGCATGGCTTCACTCATTTGTTCTGGGGTTTCAATGTCATGCCCTGAGTTAAGATGCAGGTGCATGTGTGATTTTATGGTTGCAGCCTTTCGATCACWYGCTGMTTTGCCCCCCTGGGGATCAGAGAAATCCAATCTTTTRATSTTCACACCAAGCTCAGCTCCTATTTTGCTGGCACAGATTATTGTTGCACCGCTGTGGTAACAGCCGGCATTATCTTGTCGATAGTTGACGTTCTTCAGTGATGGCATGGCGGCCTTGAGCTGTTTGATGACATCT